TTGTTGTTACTTTGTAAGTTGTCAATGGTTCTATTATCTTGGTTTTGACATAAGAATCTTTTAAGCTTTTAAAATGTGAAGTTATTAGATTGGTGAACAGTTTAAATATATAAATCTTCTTGTATACTTGTGCCTATTATAATAAATTGGTCTGTTCATTCTCACATAGAGAAAGTGAGAGTGCAAGTAGAATCTGAAGTGTCTATTCAGTCAATTGATAAAAGTTGAACATGTATAACACGTGCAATCTTCTAGACATTCTCATACAATTAAAAGATCCTTGCGATTATATTATTTTTCTAAGTGAGCAATATCAAGAGATTGAAGAGATGATTGCTACATATGATGAAGATATTGGCGATTTGTAATATGGTAAATGAATTGGTACAAATTATTAATTAGATATGAGATCATGTTATACTTTTTTAAAAGGTTTGAAATCTAATGAGTATTTTTTTGAAGATAAATAAATAAATACAAAGCTATTGTAAGAGGTTGCGATTTGAAAACAGTATTGTTCTTACCAATGTTATAAATATAGGTTTATAATGATTATAGTGGTATTGTGGCATTTTTTATCTTTTGCTTCGCCAAACAAAATAAATTTGGTTTGTAAGTTAAACAAATTTATCTATGGTTTTAAACAAATTTCTGAGCAATGATATTTAAAGGTTCACCAAATATTATTACTTGGCTTTATGGATAATACTGTTAATTTATGCATATATCTCAAGGTCAGTGGGAGTAATTTATTTTTCTTGATCCTTTATAGCGATGGAATTTTACTTACTAGTAATAATTTCGAACTAATACTTGATGTGAAGATATTGTTGTTAATAAATTTTTGATATAAAATATCTTGGCAAAGTATTTTATGTGTTTGGCATTAAGATACTTGAAAAATAACTTAGAAAATTATTTGTCTCATCTCAAAGTGTATACCTAGAGCACATTTTTACTGAATTTAATATGCAGAATTGAAAGTTTTACTTTGCTCTTCTTAATGATCGAGACTAATTAACATTCAGTATTCATAAAATGATTTTGAGGGAAAAAAAAAATCATGAAGAATGTCTTGTACGCTAGTGTTGTGAGAGTTTAATGAATTATGAAGTTTGGATTAAACTTGGTGCATATGTAATTAGTTTGTTAGACAATTATTATTTTAATTTAAGTCTTGGCCATTGGGTTGGAACATATAAAGTGTTATGATATTTATAGAGAATTAAAGATTATACAATTGGCTATAGAAGAATTAATTATGTTAATATTATTGGTTGTATAATGTCGACTTTGGAAGTTGTTCAGATGATATATAGTGTCTGTTACTAGTTACATTTTTATGTTTGCATGAGGTGTTATTTCATGAAAGAGTTTCATAAAATCTCTTATAATTTTTCACTCTGCAAACATATTTCAGAGTTCGAATTGAGTTATGTAATTAAAGAATTTTATTTCAGAGTTTGGAATTGTTAATTTCATCTCCAAACCTATAAAGATGTATTATGATATATGGTTTTAATTTTCTCTATGAAGAATAACAAAAACTCTGATGGCGTTAAATACATAAATTTAAAGTACTTCAGAATTAAAGAGTTGTTAAAGATGATATTCTTTATGAGAACATGTTATAGAATACATACTAGTTGATCCTCTAAATATAGGGCTTAGGCCAAATTTTAGTTTGCTAAATATATTGAGCATATGGGTACCTTACAGTTTTTTATGTGCTTGGTTAAAGAAATTTTTTAACCATGAATATTATTTATGGTATATTTCAGTTAATAAAGTTTAATGTGTTTATTCACATTTTGTTTATAGTTATGTGTGTGTACACATAAATGGTAATTGTCATATATGTATACCTCTTATATATGAGCTCTTACAGCTATGTTTTAATTTTGAGATATAAAGATTACCACTTCGGTTTAGAAGTGTATATAGATCCATAAAGTATGATGCTTGGTTTAAAGCATGAAAGACCTCGGTTTAGAGGAATAAAGGCTTCTTTTGGAAGTGTAAAATGGAATAAAATTTCTTGCAGGGTCTTGTCAAGACCATACAGAGGATTGAATGTGGAATTAGCATGTTATATAATTTTGGATCAATTATGCTAAAATTCCACACTACGCTTTATCACATATAGGAATCCATGTTGGTGAGATATTAGTGTTTGTAATTATGGAAGGTGTTATATTGTTTAATAGCATAATTACCGCTATAGTTCGATATTAATATTTCTCATTGAACGGGATTCTGTGCTGAGATGTTTCTATTCTGAATCATGTTTATGTGGTCACTAAAGTTGTTTAACCTGAGAGTCATTTTTTCTTAAATAAAATATTTTCTTAAAGTAGTAGTCAATGTTGCTTAAGTGGGAGAATGTAAGAATTTATTCTTAATTAGGCTGTCATTGACTAAATTTTGTTTGGTTTGTGAAAAACGGGTTGAACGTGATTCAGATAGATTGACTGGTATGAGCCCAAAATTATTATTGTGATCCATAAAGTTTGGGCCATGGGCATCTTAGTGTATATATTATTTTATATGTGGATATGTGGTATGGAGGTGTAAGGCCTGTTTTAAGTTATTTGGGATCCTTAATGGGAGGGCCCAGTAATTGTTTTATTTAGGCCCAGTCCCCTCTCCTATCCTTATTAGGGTTTACATATATCTATATATATGTAGATCAAAGAGTTGTCAGCCCCATTGAAAGACAACATAAAGATTAGGAGAAGGAGGGGAAGAGTTGGTGCTAAGGTTTTCCGATTGTGAATACCATCATCTTTCAAAGAAGCAAAACTCAAGACAATAACGAAATCAAACGGTATGTATCCAAGTTTTATGTTTTAGTAGTTAATTATATTCATAGTGTTTTGATTTCTAGTATATAGATCCTATATTCTTACATTCACGGCCAGCTTGAGATAACAAATTGTGTTTCCAACCTTGCATCTTGTGAAGCGCTCTATCAATTAGGTAGGAATAGGCATCAGCTTTGGACCTACCCTAGTAAAAGGGAAGGCCGAGATATGATGTACCGGGCAGAGTTGGAGAGATGCCCAGAAGAGTGCAAGCATTAAGCCTCTCCTACTCAGGCGTGTTAGATGAAAAAACAAAGTAAAAGACTTTCCAAACTTAAATCTTAGAAAATTCTCTTTCAAATATTTATATCCCAATTAGTCCATAAGATATTCTTGTATTCGAGTAAATACTATTATTTTGGACATTTGATTTATCAAATCCTAATTCTTATATTTAATATATTTTATGAACAACTTTACCCTTATAAATATTTTTTGAACCCTTATTTATCAATATATATATATATATATATATCTAATTGTGAACCCTTAGAAACTTATGATGTGGACATTCGGATTAAATAAATTTGACAGTATGAATGTTCCCGTTGACAATGTGAACATCAATGCGCGCTTCACTTTATTATTATTTTGATAATTATGTCACTTATAGGACTTATTGAAATATAAGAAAACAATTTGTACCAAGTGGAACATATGTAGGTGAAGAGAGATCTATGAAAAATTTTTCTAAAATTATTCAATAATATATGTGAAATTAAGTTATATTTAGAAAAAAAAAAAGTAAAGAATTTTAGCTCTCAACCATGTGAAAGACAAAAAAATATTCTTTACTAGCAAATATGAGCTTGTTCCTCTTCAAACATTATATAAAATTAGAGAATACAAGTGTCTAAGTTAGATACGGGTGTCAGACACATATCTCACACTCATAAAAATGATCACTTGAGACCCTGCTACTTTTTAGTGAAAGTGGATGATTAACATAATTTTTTATATATGTATATATTATTTAAATCTAAATATATTCAAGGGTTTCAAAAGGAAAAATATAAAATAGTAATGTAGAAATAAATTTCCTCCACTAATCAGGAATGTTAGTTAAGGTACCAATATTGGTCTAACAAATTTCTAACTTTCATCAATTTTGGAGAACAATTATATGCATTCACACACAAATCTCTAACATAACCCTTGTGAGATGAAAAGAAAAATAGAGTATAAGAAACTTAAATTTGAGAGTGCATGGCATTATCTTATTTATAGGTCATGTTCATTTTAAATTTCATCCTAAATAATATATTGAAAGGGCTTGATGAAAAACCAAAATTATCACCAATGAAGATGCCAAATCAAGTATGAAGTTCATATGCTGCTTGGAAATTGTAATGGTAAAGCCACTAATCTCCCATGTGTTAGAGAGGAGCTTCTAAATACACCCCCTCCTTTGGCCGCGCCCCAAATCAATTCCTTTAGCAAAGCCACTAGTTGTGTGCACGTGATTGAGTGTATTTAGAAGCTCTCGTTTTTGAAACCAAACTTTCCTTTATTATACTTTTTATCCTAAAAACAAAGAAACATTCAAGAAACCTCCATAATTCTATCGTAGATTGGTGGTTGTGTGCGCATGATTGGGTGTATTTAGAAGCTCCCATTTTTTGAACCGAACTTTACCTTTATTATATTTTTTACCCTAAAAACTGAGAAACATTCAAGAAACCTCCATAATTCTATTGTAGATTGGTGGTTTTCCCAGACCACATGTGATTTTTTGGCGGATTTTATAATTTGTTGTTTGTAATTTGAGTAGGCTTTCTTGTTTGGTCCTTTGGAATTTTGTTGTTTTTCTTTTGAACTAACTTCTTTATAATTTTGCTCAAAGAAAATAATTATGCCCAAATCCACTTGTATGTTTTTTTGTTTCCCTTCATCTATTCATATTAATCAACTTCATGTATATAGAAAATCTCCTATCATAAGAGTATAGTAAGTTGTGGCTCTTACGAACCATGTTGCCCCAAATGGTAGTTGCAACTCTTATGCACCATGCTACCTCAAATGGTGCTTGCAAGTTCTGGTGTTACTTTTTTCTCCTTTTTTTTTCTTTTTAAAATTTTGCATATTAGTTTGTCAATCAAACTTGTCTAAATTTTTATTTGTATTCTTGTGTTGTAGCAACAACAACAAGAACAATTGCAACAGGACCTGCAGCAACAAGTGAGATTCTTTGCATTTCATTTTTCTAAATCTTTCCTATGAGTAGTTGTCTACAAAAAAATTTGTACTTCCTTTTTTAATTATTTTTTATTTGTGTTTCTTGCAGCATGAAAGGCGGACCTAGCGTAGCAGTAAAGCTACCTCTTGGTGACCTGGTAGTCACGGTTTCGAGTTGTGGAAACAGCCTCTTTGCTTGCAGGGGTAAGGTTGTGCACATCAACCCTTCCCCAGATCTCGCTTAAGCGGGAGTTTTGTGCACTAGGTACGCCCTTTTTTATTTCTTACAGCATGAGGTAGGTGAGGAAGGATGAGAAAAGGAAGAGACTAATAACAACAATGATGGTGGTGGTGATATGTACGAGGATGGAGATAGCCATAATTAATGAACATGAGGATGACTTTTGATGATAATGATGGTGACAATGCTCAATATTGTGATTATCAGCTCTCTAAACATTTTGAATACAAAGTGTGTATTAAAGTATCTTTCATCGATATTATTTTCCAAGCAAGAGAAAAATATTGGTGTCTTGTGCCTTCTCTAAACCATAATTCTCAGTTTATAGTTATATTTCTCAGGATAAAATATGAAATATCTTCATTTTCTTCCAATTTGATAAACCTATTATGACTTATTTTTTTAATACATTGGTGATATTGTTTAACTTTTAAATTAAAATTCTATTTATAAACATATTATATTTATTACAAAGTACATAGAGTATATCTAGCATATCATATAGTGATTGTCATAATGTGTTGGTATTAAATAACTGGTTGGTTTGTACCCAATTAAAATCGTATTTGTGTCATGCATGCGTTGAATTCAAAATATTTAAATGCAAGTCTTTAAATTGATTCATAATGATGTAGATTGATAACTTTGGGTTGGAGAAAAGCCAGATCCTTTTGGGTTTCAATAATTTGTTGCCAGCTTCAGTCATTGAATTGAAAGTGTAGGTTATGACAAACTTTCTTGAAAAGTTGTTTTGGGTCACTTTGTCCCATTAGTATTTGGTACTCTTTTCACTCCAATTAGAGTATGTAAATATCACATATAACCTAGAAACCAACAAATTATACCTAGTCCTGTAGTCACTATGATAAAATGATTGACAAACTATTCACTATTGATATGCTTCCCTATACTTCTTTAGCCATTATGGAGTGAATCCTCCATCTTAGGGATAGAAATCATCAAATACAACTTGTATATATTTGGGCTATAAACCACTTATTATTCACGGATGAAAAGTTATTCTTCTATAAAGGTAATAAGGGTGATGCTTGCAAAATTAAGAAGATTGTTGGGTCAAATGATAAATAGTAACAAGTCAGTTTTGTTTTTCAATAAGAACACTCCAAAAGAGTCATAAGGAAGTATAAGAAGTATTGAACATTCCTGGGAAGGCTAAATTGGGTAAGTAGTTTGGACTTCCTATAGACTTTGGTAAATCTAAGGTGGAGCTCTTCAATTACATCAAGGAGAGGGCTCACTTGCATTTAGTGGATTGGAAACAATGTTTTCTCTCTCCAGCCGAGAAGGAGGTCATGGTCAAATTTGTGGCTTTTGCTCTACCAATGTATGATGTGGGTTGCTTTAAAATGTCCGTCTTTTTGTGTAAGTTTCTTACTTCTTCTATGGCAACGTATTGATGGGACAAGTAAAGGATGAACGTCGAATCCATTGGCCGACGTGGAGCAAGTTGATGACAAATTTAAATGGAAGGGGATTTAGAATCTAGGATATAGTGGTTTTTGATTTGGCAATGTTTGCCAAGCAAAAAGTGGTGGTTGATCTAGGATAACAAAAATAGTTTGGTTGCTACAATCCACCAAGCCAGATATTTTCGAGGGTCATCATTGCACCACTTGATCAATAAGATCAAGATTGAATGGTGGAGGGAGGTAACACGTGATTTTTTTACAAACTAATGGCATTGATTTGATCCTAGGAATGATGCCACTACCTATGGTAGGACAAGCTAGTCTGGCTTATACCCATCTACAATGTACACTATAAATTCGAGGTACGAAGTGGTGATCATAATGAAGCGCAACAACTGGTTGGGTTTAAAGGGGAAGGGGAATGTGGTGATCGGGACAAACATATATGTTTTTGAACACAGCTTATACCTTGGGCAAAGTTGAATATTTTCTTTGGAAATGTGTATGGAATATTGTTCCTATTAGAGAGGCCTTGCAGCAGAGTAACTGAAAACAATTATGCATTTGCTAGTCCAATGCCCGTTTGCTTGGGTAGTGTGGTTTGCCTCTCTACTTTGGTAGGGTGTTTGGGGCGTGGATTGTAGATCCTTTTATCACTGGTGAAACAAATTTTAGTGGAGTGCAAGGCTGTGCAAGAGGGACAACGAGCGATGGCTTACCTTGCATCCATTGCCTAGGGAATTTGGAGCGGATAGAGATGAATGCATATTTTATAATGAATAGTGTGATCCTATACAAGTTATGCAACATACCATAGCCAGGGCCAATGAATTTTTTTAGCCTCAAGTGAAGGCTAAAATAGAGTTAGGGAAAAAATGTGAAGAGTGAAGCTGAGCTACATAGTGGATGGAAAGCACAAGAGGATGGATGGGTGAAGGTGAATTTTAATGTAGTAAGGTTACAATGTCAAAAAAGAAAGTGGTAGGAGTTTGTGTTGGCAAGCTTGTTAAAGCTCGATCGCTACGAATAAAGGACCGTATCAATTCAAATGGTTGAAGGTTTGGTGTTTCAAATGGTAGTCCTCTTAGCCAAAGATTCCTAAATCCAAATAGCCATGTTTGAAGGAGACGTCCAAAATCTCATAAAGATGGCATTCATCAAGATGTAGAAGTCCTTATTGCAAATGTTTTGCATTTGTGAGCGTCGTTGTAGCATAAACAATGGCCCACAAGTTTGCCAAGTTTGGTTTGGGTGGGGTAGGTGTAGATCCGACTTTCTTCACCTGCCCCCCTTTTGGAGGGACGCGAATTGGTCTCCTAAAGTTCAGACTACTGTCATGGTTCTGAATCTAATCTTACAAAGTGCAATATGAGACTGATAAACACCAATGAGTCCAATCCAGCAAATCATTTTGAAAAATCAGATTTTGAATCAAATAATGCCAAAAACTAGACTACTTTGCCAGATTACAGAGTCGCCACCTAAATATTTTTTTTTTGGGAAAATTTAGGAAACCCTGACTCATGCCAAATGCCATGTGTCCATCATCACCAAAGTTGTCTCGGCTCGGGAACTTGGATACGAGAGGGGAAGGTCTTGAAATGAGCAACCCCGCTTGCCAGATCAAAGATCGGCCTCTGCTAACATGATATGTTGTTTTATAAACACATGTGTTCTTATTCCGGTTATTAGCTAACTTTACTATGTGATGCGCATAGCATACAAGTATAGACTATATCGCAAGAATTGGAACAAAACAACTCATGTTTGTTTTCGAAAATGGTTTGAAAGTGCCACCCTCAAGTGGGCTAAAGCATGGATTTGCCACCCTCAAGTGGGCTTAAAACGTGATTTGCCACGTCGCAAAGTGGGCTTAAAACTCATATTTGATGAATTGTTCCAATGCAAGCAATAAAGCCTTCATCCACAGGCATTCATGTAGTTAATCAATTAAGCAAATAGCCTCATGGCAAGCATGCTGTCATGGCAACACTCACACTCATGCAAGTATGCTGAAGCGTAAAACTTACAGTGTACTCCAAGCCAAAACAGATGCTAGTTAGAAATCATGCATGATCCTAGTTATGCAAGACGCCTAATGCAACGTATGCAATAATAGAACTAAATAGGCTCGGCTGTCTAATATGGCATATGATTGCAACAATTTGATACATGTATTCAAAGAAGTATTGAAATACAATGCAGTTTGAATAATGCGCCCAGCCCGATGCATGCAAGACAAATGAATGATGCAAACATGCAAGCATAAGGTATGCTAATCAAAACATGCCCTAATCTAACTATCGAAAGCAGTTAAATAAAAGGGAGAAAGACGTGGGGTTAGAAGACATGCACACACACACGCATGCTTATTATAACATTATGCCCTCGTGAAGGAGGGTTTGAATGAATAAGCTGAGCTACACTAAGCTAAGCCACACTAGGCTAAGTCAATTATTACAACATAATTGAATAATTAGCTAACGCTAAGCTAATTAAAAATATTACAAAACGAATTGAATGCTTAGCTACTCTAACTAATTAAAGCAATTAAATGGCCTCGCGAGTGAGGGAGACATGCATGCTCGATTGTTTTCTCCCGAAAATCCATTGCCTTGCCAACAACTGCCTTTTTTTGCACTTGTCTCTGTTTTCTGAACATTGTGCCAACTCTAGACTACCTTTGCCTCAAAACAGAAACATTTTGCACCAAAAATGGACTGGTGGCCGGTCGGCCACAAAAGGTGGCTGTCGGCCACAAACACTGGCTGGTCGGCTAGTTTAATGGCCGGTCGGCTACCTCAAGTGGCCGGTCGGCCACCCCTTTTTCAAAAATTCTATTTTTGCTGCAACAGAGAACAACAGAGCCAAGACAATGCATTTTACAGGAAATGTATGTACTGCAACTCTCCTCATCATGTCTCAAACTCAAAGGAGAGTGGCACTCGGCTCTCAAGCCACCAACAAAGCATCTCAATGCATGATGGCCCAAAAACCAAGCTTGTACAAGCTTAGTCAATGCACAAACAATACACGAAGAGCCTCCACCCTATCATGCATGATCAAGGGTGTTGGCGACCAAGAAATGTGATACGTTTCATCACTTTGAGTATGAAACATCCCATATTTCTTGTGTTTGGATTAACGTCTGATCCAAACACATGCAATGCAACACACATGTTTATCTTGTCCATGCTTTACTTAGTCCATTTCTTGTTTACACATTTTAGCTTACCAATTAGTCTTTTAACCGGTTAAGTCCAATGTGAAAAGTCCTCTAATTGGAAAGGTGGCCTAAGCCGCAAGTGCCTTGAGCATGAAAGAGGTCTCATGTTGTTGGTTAGTAGAAACCCTCAAGGGAGGATTAAAACCATTAGGCACGAAGACCTCAAGTTCATGCTCAAGCCAACAAGGGGCTTAAGAGCACTTTCGAAAGCAAATTCAAAAATGAAGAATAAAGGGAGGTTGCAGACTTTTAGTGTTGATATGGCATGCTAAAGACACAAAATCATGCAATCAACATATGCATAACTTGTTAATAGCCAAAGGCATCAAAGCTAGTGAAGTGTATTACACTAGGAGCCTGCAACATCAAGGTTAAACAACCAAACCAACTCAAAACAAGGCTTAATCATGCTAAATTAGTGACCTAAACATGCTGGAATTGGAGCATAAATGCCAAGGAAAACATGCTCATTTGTTGGCTCGCAAGCAAGGCATAAGGCACAACTCTCAAAAGGATTTAAAGAGTGATATATGTGAGAGTGTGACAGAGGTGTATGCCCTGAAATCACATGCTAAATGATGCTATACCATGCAAACATCACAAATAAGGCATACTAGAGAGCCTAAAATACAAAGCTAGTAAATGCCATTTACACTAGAACCACCCCTTAACCAAACAAGGTTCAAACTACAATTTTAAAACCATAAAAATAGAGTTTTTAGAGGTTAAAACCAGCCTCAAAGTAGCATAAAAAGATGGTCAAGCACTTAGCTAAAACAAAGCTCAAAAGAGTGTTAAGTTCTTACCCTTGAAGCACAGCTGCAAACAGGTCTTCTTCTGAGCCAAAATCAGCTTTAGGAGCTCCAAACAAGCCTTAAGGAACCTTAGCTTCAAGATAGGGATGTTTGATCAAGGGTCACTTTGCAAATATGTAGAGAAAATTCACTTTCAAGCCTAAAATAAGGAGAGAGAGAGAGAGAGAGAGAGAGAGTTCTAGAGAGAGACAGATTTTTTGCTCACAAAATTTCTCAACCCTCAAAATGGGGAGGGACCTCCCCTTATATAGAAAAACAAGCTACAAGCTTGTTTACATCCCTCCATACACATGTATGGAGGATGGCTTCAGTGATCAATAGCTGGCACCAACTGGAAAATAAATATCTGAAAAAGAAGAAAAATGGTTGTCGGCCACCATTGATGGCCGGCAGGTGCAAGCCATGGCCGATGGACACTGGGGATGGCCGCCAAGCTATCCTCTTCTCCAGATTCAAAGCAACAAGCTCTTGGTCCACAACCAAGCACAAAACAGACAAGTTGAGAGGCTCCAAGGCAAGGCGCTCAGCCGAGACCTTCAGAGACTCAAAACGAACATGAGCATGCTCAATTATCGGGTGTTCAAATGATGACGTCCAAGTCTTGAGGACGGTAAAAAATGGGGTGTCTACGGTAGGTTGTTGCAAATGGGACACCACCCCTCATCTATGGATTATTGAGGCCCTTAGGGGTGATGGAAGTCTTTGAGATGGGAATAATAATTATCTATGTATTTAAAGCTATTTTACGGGAAAAAAAAATTTCATTTATTTATTTATATACGTGAAGCCTTAACAAGATGGTGTTGACACAAAATGTCTCATATTTCAAGTTTTCCTAAAATTACCCTTATAGTTGGCATTTGTGTAAAATTAATGTTAAGAGGATAACAAGACTTGAAACTATGATCATAATTTCGGTAAAGAAAACTCTTACCACTTAAGCAACACATAATTTGTGTGCAATTTTCTATCATTATTCTTATACTATTATTATTATTATTTTCGGAATTGCACACGTGTATAGACTGTTAGTGTATGTACAGGATCCCGGTACGTTTCCTTCAATTTGTACTTCACAAAGTTTTCTGCTGACACATTAGCATCTCAATTGTAGCCTATTACATTTGAGAACACTGCATTGATGTACTGCACTCACATACTGCATTTCATCAATGTACTCATCTTCGCATACTATAATTGATGCATTTAATAAACTGCCCTTTTCAGGTCCCTTTTCAGATGCCAGTTCCTCCGGACGCCCCAGTAGGAGCTACAGTAAGACCTTCAGTGCCTCTCTCGATAGCAGGGAGGGAGAGGTGAAAGACTCCAGCACACGGCCGAAGCAGAGCCAGACGTACTCGTGCTGAGAGCAGTTCACTAGAGCCTATCCCGGAGGATGATGAGACAAATGAGGATGTGGAGCCAGTGAGTTCGCAGTCAGAGTCATCTGAGGGTGGAGGCGACGGCATCGGCTCCAGCTCTGAGGGCAGTGGCGATGCTGAGAAGGGGAGCAGAGATGGCTCTGGATCGGGTTCTAGTTCAGATTCAGAAAGCAGGGCTGACGGCGACAGCTCTGAGTCCACACAGTCGAGGAAGAGGACGAAGAGGGCTTCTTGATCTTGAGACAGCTAGCACAGATTCATATGCCCTTTTTTGCTTTAGTTTTTCTATTTTCTAGTTGTTAGCACATTGTATAGCCTTAGGCAGTTTTATTTTCTTTAAAACTTGTACGCCTTGTAAAAAGAAACCATGATTAGAATGAAAGCAACTTTTTGTTTAAAATGTATTGCACTTTATATTCTGAGCATCGCATCACATCATTTTACACAAAAATGAGTTTGACGAAAATCAAAAATTATATTGGCAACTGCTTAGTCAGGTAGTAAACCAACTAACAAAAAATGACTCAACAACCAAAATAAATACAACTCGATAAACAAAGCAACAACCTGATAAGCAAAATTACAACTTAATAAGCAAAATTACAACTCGATAGGAAATTTTGACAAAATTCTTAAAGGAAAAGGGAAGAAATACACCAAAAGTGGAATAAAATACTGGTTCTTGGCATTTTCAACACTTGGAAGGACTAGGAGGCAAGGTGGAAGGCCACCGGCCACAAAAGGATGCTGTCGGTCAAATAATGGTTGTCGGCCACTAGCACTGGCAGGTCGGCTACAAAAGTGGCCGGTCAGCCACCAATACTGGCCGATCGGCCATCAATGTAAGGAACCTCCAGATTGTTGCCACCTGTCTTCCACTCACTTCCTTATCTTCTATAAAAGCTCCAGTTTCGTGGTTTCTTCATTTCAGCTGCATTTTTTCCCCAAATGGAACCATTCTTCGCTGAAAAACTCTCCAATTGGATTGCGACTTTAGATGGCTCGAAAAAGTTAAATTTTCGAGGTTTTAGGCTAAACGCACTATTCCCGCTGAGTCGTACTCCGCTGTGTTTTCCGTTCCTCCATGCCGCGGCTAGATGTTGGAATACGGTTACACAGGTTTTTAGCTTCAGCGGACAAGAGCTGTGTCATGACCCGAACCCGCCCCCATGGGTTAAGGACATAACCGACCAGTAATCATGAGATTACCTACGTCCTCAAACCAAACCAAACGTATTTTAACAGAGTTAATGGGGGCCAAACGAAAGCAATTCAAAACTTTGTCCATAGAGCTGTGCTTACATGGCACATCATCACAACCCATACGTATGCATATTAATAACTCACAACAAAATATGTACTACACAAGGTTCTATACATACAAGATCACATAGGTCTAAGTCAGCCGAACAAAACTATATACAACATATTCAAAGACTTCGCCCATATGACAAAATAAAACAGAATAACAAAAGGCAAAGACGGGTCTCGTGCGTGAGACGCGAGGGCTGACTATTCAAAACCCTTTGTTGTTCCTGATGGACTTCACTGGGGCTGGGTTTGGACTTCTCTTGGCTCACCTACAAACACATGAATGAGCGTGGGCGATAGCCCAGTGAATAATATCAAGTAGAGAAGTTATACAACGATATGTAGAACAACATGCTTCAAACGGCCTTGGGCCCAATTCATATTTCCATTTAATATATATACACAATTTAGGTCAAGTGACTGCAGTTCCGAACAAACTGACCTTGGGCCCATTCAAACTTTCATTTGTGTCAAAAAGGCCTCTGGCCCATTCATTCATGTCAAACATTTGTCCTTAATTCAAACTGGCAAACTCATAAGGCTTATAAGGAAATAAGCAATTGGACAAATGACAAGTTTCAAATATCGATATTACTCACAGTGATCGATTGGTTGGTTTGCCTTGGAGCTCAACCCTACACATTCCATGAACACAAAAGGGTCACAAACAATTCGATCCGTTCACTACAACAAAAGTAACCTATGGTGACGAAAACTAGTGAAGAAAATAAAATTCGTCACTAAATGAAAATAATTCGTGAGGAATTTTTAAATTTTGTCATATATGATAAAAAAATAAAAATGATAGGTGACAAAATATATTTTCGTCAATAAATATTTCATTTTAAGTGAGGAAAACTTAAGTTTCGTCACCAAAAATTTTCCCACTATTTTTTTTCGGTGGCGCCAAAATTTTGGGACTTTTGGTGACAAAAAAATTTGTCACTAATTATAAAATTATTTGTGATGAATATATTTTCGTCACCAAAACGTTTTAATATTTCTGATATCTTTTGGTGAGGAAATAATATTGTCACCAATTTTGGTGGAAAATTTTTGATATATTGAGCGGCAATAAAAAAAAAAAG